GGGGGCCGGCGCGCTCCGCTCCGGGGCGCGCGTCGCTCGGACCGCGCTCCCCGCGGCTGGCGTCGGGGCGGACAGCCCAGCCGGCGAGCGATCGGAAGGCTGTGCCGGCCTCTGCGATCTGGCCCGCCCGGTGACGATCCAGTCCGCCGCCGCGGCCTCGGCCCCGGCCCTCCCTCCGCCCCCGAGCAATCGCAGCCTGGGCGACTTCCAGGCACCCAGTTCTCTTCTCGGTAGAGGTAATGAATCGGGGCCCCGTGCTCCCCCGCACGCTGCTGCTTACACACTTAAGGCGGCGGCCCTGTTAATTAACTTTAATTACAATCATTTGGCCTCCACCTGCCTGGACCCTGCGCTGTACCCCGGGACCTCTCCGGAGTGCTCTTGCCAGGCAGCTCTTTTGCCTTTAGTGTGGGAAGCAGTTCTCGTGGGAGAATTGGTGTCCATCTACTAATTAAAGTAAGTTTTTATTTTACTTCATTCTAAGTTTTTTTTTTTTTTTTTTTTTTTTTAAACCAGTCTTGGATTCCTTTGTGGCGACCCGGGGTTTCTTGACTTGGAAGGTTTGTGAAATTATATTGTGAACGATAATCTTTGATAATTAGAGGAAAAAAAAAAACCACAAAAGAAGATGGGCTACGGGGAAAACTGTCTCAGGCTCTTGTAAGTTAGTGGACGGGTATCAGGTTTGTCCTTGAAGAATAGGGCACTTAGGATTCTTTTTTTAAGCGCTGAAACACGCTATTTTTGAAAGTACATTTAATCGGATGTCACTGTTATTACCAATAATAGCGTCGCGCTTACAAGGCCAGTATTGATCCTCCTTACTTAAGCACTGAGCACCAGGACGCGTGGAGCGCTGCCCGGAAGTGGAAGGTGGCTGTGGGTGCAGCAACTTTCTGAAGGAGAGGAGCATCTGTCAGAGTCTTCTTTATGACTTTTGTACACCTGCAAGAGAAATGTGGAGGGCAGAGGCGCTTGCCATTCCACCATTTAACAGCGTTTAAAAGAGAGGGAAATAAAAGTGGGTCGTGCAAGTAGGCTGCGTCCTAAAATGGAGACATCCCCCGGCTCCCATCCGAGGAGAGAGGACTGCACATTCCAGGTGGCCCTCACGCCAGGAGGTGTTAGACAGACCTGCCTGGTGTGCCGGAGCCACGGTGTTGCTTTTATCTTAATAAAATGTACCCACAGGGTAAGTCAGGCGGCTTGTTAAACTGACTTACGTGGTCCGCTGTCCTGAACTCTTCCCTGCTCTCCTCAGCCTGTCAGATGCATTTCTGGGTTGTCTGTGAAAGGAGACGCTGACAGGCCACCTAGAAACAAATTCTTGTTTTCCTGGCATCTCAGGTGCCCAGTGGTGAGGGGCAAGGGCACTGGCTCTGTGAATGCTTTTCAGATTAAACTACTTGTAGTTACCATGGGGAAATAGCACACGGGCTATCATGAATTACAGGGTTTTTGTTGTTGGTTTGTTTTTTAATGTCAGCATTCTGAAACAGAAGTTTTAAAACTTTGCTTCTGAGAATTCTGGGCTATAGGAGTCCTAGAAGGAGACTTTGCCGTTTGTATCATTACTTCCTAACACACTTCCTTGAAACTAACCAGCTTAGGGTGGTGAAAGTGAGCACACAGGTCAAAGTATGAAGACAGCCATTGCTTTAGCTGCTTCTCTTGTCACATGTCCACCCCTCTTCAGATGTGGTGATTGATTTTCTTCTCGGTCTTTGCCTTTGCATGTGCTCAGATTCTTTGTGAAACACTATTACTTCCTATCAGTGCTAGACATATTCTTGAACTTTTAGCTAAACACAGTGAACGTAAAAGTGAGGATGGGTATACAGCCTTGAATCATTTCTACGTTAGACTTTATTAGATTTAAAAAACATTGGTCAGGGCCTTGGTATGTGGCGGTATTTCCACCAAGCTAATGACATGAGCTTGATCCCAGGGCTCCATGGTATAAGGAGTCAAATGACTCCAGCAAGTGGTCCTCTGACCTCTATGCAAATGCTGTGTCATCCCCCCATACATGTGCAGGCACACACAGTAAATAAATGTGCATAAAATATCACCCAAATCAAATATATAATAGCAGTAAAGGCATTTTGATTTTTTTTTTTTTTTTTTTTTTTTTTTCTGATTGAAGTAACAGTGGTTTCCCGGTTGGTGTAGAACTTTTCTTGAAGTTTTGACTCAGCATAAACAGACTTCTCTACCCATGCTCAAGGCAGAAGAAAGGTGTTCTGGCCTGGGCGAGGTTGGCATTTTGTGAAAGCTGTCTGTGAGAGGTGGAGAGAATTCTTTTCTGATTTATGCTTAGGTGTATATCGGGGTAGGTAGTTAAGGCAATAAATGGCTTATCATTCCTGAAGGTTCTCAAAGCTCAAAAAAAAATACAAAACAAAAACAAAACCACAAAACAAACACTGACACCAGTGGTTATGCTGTGCACACGAGGAGAGAAAGGCTCAGTCTGTCCAACAACAGGGAAGCTGGTCTGTCTTTCTGGCTTTAGGATAAGCTGGAAGACGGGTGGAGATGGTGAGAAGGGTTATGGAGGACTTCATTCCGAATAGGTGAAGACGCTTTGCTTTTCCAGTTCTGCAGCTGAGTCCAGCTGCTCTTCTGACACTGCACCTGCTCTGCCTCCTTGCTGTGGCCTGATGTTTATCTCCTCTCCTTGTACCTTCTTCCTTTGGTCTACTTTCAGGGGCTGGTGTCTCCACCTGTGGCCTTTTTTTTTTTTTTTTTTTCTTGAAACCCTATTCAGTGTTTATACCGGCAGCATTTGGAAAGCTCTGACTTTCTGCAGTCTTTAGATAGACTACTCAAGTTGATGGAGGACTTCAAGAGTCCCTGATCACTTCAAAAGGATGGTGTTCAATCTGTGAGATTTAAATAAAGCATTATATTGCAAACCCCATAAAATTGAAGCTCACAGAATTTAGCTTCTCTGTTGTTTCAGAGGAAGTGCTATTTTGCTTACATCCTATTCTTCTGAGAATGTTGTTCTGTCTCGATGGTGCGTCTTCAGTTCTAGGGAGCAGTTTGTCTCAGGGCTGGTTGTCTGTACCCATGCCATTTCCTTTGCTTATTTGTCATGTCTAAGCCTGCTCTTTTTTTAAACTCCTAGAGGGAAGACATTGTATCTTCGCTTTGTAGCACTGGACACTGTTCTCAAGAGAGATAAGTACTGTTATCTTGAAATGAAAATATTTCCCACTATTATCTTGGAGAGAGTAGCCGTTTCTTAAATATTTACTGAAGGAATAAATGTAAACAAAGAGGCATATAAGTTCAGAGACAGTTGAAGTACTTGTCTTTTCACAAGAACAAGAGACTTTAAGAATCACAGAATCAAGAGGAAGCTCTTGAATTCAGTTGGAAAAGAGGTCAGGGCGCTATTTATAAATGCAGAGAGGAAACATTCACAGTGGGCTATTTTGAAACATCTGGTTGTTGGTCTAAAAATGTGGCTCTTAAATTCAGAGACATGGTGAATGGTTATTTGCGCTTCAGCACTGAGATGTAACGCACATAAAGAGTGTGTTTATATCATGAGTCTCCATTTGAAGGTCGTTGTGCTGAACTGTTGTTTCAGTTTTTGCCTGGATTAATCGACCATTAAAGCTGTGTGCACTTTATCACAAAGTGGAACAGAATAGAGTGTATGCTATGTGCTTCTCAGTTCAAGGTTTTGAAAGCGTTGGATTCAGCTACACATATGCTACAGGCTGTAGTTGGGGGCAGCAAAGGGCCTGTTCCCAGTGGAAGCAGATGTGGATGTGGGAACGTGTGGGTGGGCAGTGATGTGGGTTTCAGCTTGGCATTCTTTGTGGAAACTGTGGAAGATAAAATCTTTCTTTGGTTGATCCCAGATCATGGCTATACTTGTCAGATCTCTCCATTAGAATTTAAAAGAAATTTCAGCCCTCAACTAATTAACTTAAAATGTAGATGGGAACTTTGAGAGATGTCCTATGGCCAAGGAGATTACCTAGCACTTAACTGTGATGCCATTATCTAAAACACACAAACGTAGGCATTGGGTGTGGCACAGTGTGATAACCGCTCTTACTGAGGCAAGGAATTGGTGTTCCTGGCCTTGACAGAGACAGTAAATTCTAGATTGCATCCTTGTGTTTTTCTTTGCACAGTAAGTAAAAACAAAACAAAACAACAACAACAACACCATCCCCCCCCCCCCACACACACACACAAATCTCTCAGATTCATCTTGGTCCAAAAACCAAATGACTTTGCTTAGAATCTGGCTATTTTAAGATCAACTTTAACTTATTTTGTATCTGGCCATTAAGGAGTAATTATTTGTTGTTTTCCAGAAACCGTTCAAAGGGCAGTGTGCATATTTAAACATCCCAATCCCCAAACAGCCTTGAGTTGTTTGCATTATCATCTTCCTTGCTTATCAGAACACAATAGTGGGACTGTGGAGGGACACACACACACACACACACACACACACACACACACACACGGGGAGGGAGGGAGAAAGAAGATAAATGAAATAAATTAAGAAGTGGAGAAGCCTGGATTGGAATTCTGGCATTCTGGGCTCTAGTAGTGTGGGTGGACTTAGTGGAGGATTAAGGGCAGATGGAGTAGGGAAATCTCATGCACTGATAGTCCCGAAGCTTCGAGATTGTGCTATCAAAGGAGGGAATAAAATGTACAAGGAGTTCATTCTGTTTCCTCTGTGCTCTCTGCTTTATCAAATTGCCATCTTAACCACTTCGTCAGTGCACGGCTGAATAGTGTCACACGTGTTTATCTGGAACAGGATTTTCAGAACTTTTCCTCTTGCAAATCTGAATGCTGTGGCCCCTTAAGCAGCTCCCCACCTCCCTATTTCCCCTTGGTGCTCGCCAGTTCACTCGATGCCTATGGATTTGCTCACTTAAGATAACTCTTACAAGTGTATTTGTATGGTGCTTTCCTTACTCTGACTGGCTTATTGTACTTAACAACAAGTCCTAGAAACTCCACGTTGTGGTTGAAATTTCTTTCTCTGTGTGCATCCGTATGTGTTACGTATCCATGTGTGTACACGGCTTGTCTGTGTGGAGGTGTGTGAGTGCGTGTACTGTGGACATCTGAGGGAAGAGCTCACACCTTCCGCTAATCTAGGCTGATGTCAGGCTCCCCTGTCTTTTGTCTATTGAGTGCTGAGATAGCAGGAAGGGCTGCCATGCCTACCTGGAGTTTACATGAGGACCAGAGACCAGAACTCAGCTCCTTATGCTTCTACAGCACATAAAAAAAAAAAAAAAAAAAAAAAAACCAACAACAAACCAACCCCTCCCATTGCATGTGTAAACATTTTGATTATTTCCTGCATCTGCCCACATACACTGTGTTACTGCTTTTGTTCTCACTGGAAGTTGAGTCTTTTTGTGAAAATCTGCTCCCTTGAGGTCCAGCTATATTCTTACCCT